CTGCCCCTGAGACTTGGACAAGGGAAATCCTTACCTTTATATTTAAACTAAAGTTTATAATTGTTGGGTTAAAGCTGAATAAATGAGAGAAAATCTAAGCTGTATAAATAGTTTTCTTTTCCTAAATAATAGACTTCTTGAAGGTAAGCATCTGACTGAGTTTTCTCTCTCCTTTCTCTCTAGAAAGAAACCCAGGTTCTCCAAAAGCAACTGGCAGAGTTACAAAAACAGGTGTGTATTTTATAATTGGAATACACCTAGGTCTCTTAGAACTGCTTTTCTTATCTTCCATTGTTGAAGAGCTGCACCGCTGTAGTAACTGCATTTTTAAAGATTCACAATAGTTTTTGTAAGCAACGATTTTAAAGGACAGTTTAAAGTAGAGAATCCTTTTGGCAACAACAAAACAGAACAGTTTGGGACATTTTGTCCTCAAAATCATTTTGTACTCTAATTTTTTTTTTTTAAAAAAAATCAAGATATTTTTATCTGCGTCATTTAAATAATTTAGTTTTTGCTGTTGAATGCACTGTTTTAAATGCACAATGCATTGTTATAAAAAATGTTAATTATGCACCATCAACTCAATGTTGATTATTAGTGATCACATAACATTTTCTCATAATTTATTAGTAATATTAGATATTGCTAGATATCTAGCAATATTATATCTAATATTAGATATTAGATATTAGATATAGCACTTAGACTTATATACTGCTTCACAGTGCTATACTGCACCCTCTAAGCAGTTTAGAGTCAGCATATAGCCCCCAACAATCTGGGTCCTCATTTTACTGACCTCAGAAGGATGGATGGCTCAGTCAACCTTGAGCCAATGAGAATCGAACTCCTGGAGTGAGTAGTGAGGTAGCCTGCAGTATTCCATTCTAACTTCTGCACCACCATAGCTTAGATATGTTAAATACTAAATCTAGCAGTTTTACTTTACATAAGATACTTACTATTCCTTGAGTTGAAAATTAGAAATTAAGTTCTTCAGAGAGAAATAATTCATTAGTCCTTGATGTCATTTGTTCTTGTTTTAGGTTTTTGTTCTACAATCACAGCTATCACTGGAACGGAAGCAGAAGCAGAATTATATCATCAGCTGTACTAAAACAAATCAAGAGCTTTCAGATTTGCATCAAGAGCTTGAAAACTCTTTAGCTGTTGTGGCTAGGAAACCTGATGCAACTGTTTTGGAATCAGAGACTCGCAGGCTTGATGAAACCTTGAATAATAGTTTCACATTGGGAACTGTAGGCTCAGACAGTGTCTTATCTGGAAAACATCTACCAAGCTCAACACCCAAAAGTGTTCATCAGAAGTCCACAAGGTAGCATAAAAGTGGCAAAAGCAAGAAATTACAGAGGCACAAGCAGAGTTTAAAAAGTTGTTGATATGATGGATCCTTCCTCGTATTCAGCTAGCTTTGATTTCCATGGTCTATCTGCCAGTTTTGATCCTTCAGAATATAATTCCAGATTCTTTGGAATCAGTGAAGATCATCTCAATACAGCCTAAGAAAAAACAAAAGTAGTTGAAAGGCTGCGTATTAAGTGGCTGAAGATACGCAATGTGAAAATCTTTGGACATAGCAAAATTCAAAGCCAGTGTATGAGAACAAAATAAAGAAATGACTCCTTGCAACCATTTCCGATAAGAAGAATGGAAGTTCATTCCAGGAAATGAGTCATGAAAAAACTAAACTCATTAAAGATTTCCCACTTTGTTTTGTATAGACACATGGGACAGTACTTGATCAGAGAGGAATCTCAATCTAAACAGTCATTTTGGTTTAATAATCTTATTGATTGAAATATCATTTCCTAAACTATTGTACAGCAATTTGGTATAAGATACATCTAGATGGTTTTTATAACATTTTGTACTAAGCAGTTTTCTTATAATAAAAATTTTTATTTTTCCTTTCTTTGCTCAAATATTTTTTATGAAGCTTTTCTAAGATTTCCCCCCCTGCTTTTTTGTGGTATATATGCAAATAGATAGATAAAATGTATGTATAGCCATTTTCTACAAGAACTTCTGGAGATTCATGTCGATAAGGAGTATATAAGACACATTAACATTGTAATTAAAATAGAAGATAAAAAATAAGTACCAAAGTAATAAATTTACTTTTATTATATATAAACTTACTGTACTGAAAGTACTAAGTTAGAAGTTACAACTAAGAAGTAATGTCTGCAAAACTGACTCCTTCATCTCATAAAATTTAAGAGGTTACAAAAAAAATGTTGGGAGTGATGAGACAGATGGGTTGCTACAACATAGAGTTGTTCCTGAAAGTAAAGTAGCTACACCAATTCATAATGGAGTTTATGGGTTAAAACCAGGAAATAAAAACAGGCTCATGACCTAACAGAAAGGAGGAATTATCACTAGCATTTTGGAAAAAGAAAAAAGATGGCTACTGAAGTCAAGATGCATTTAGGCCATTTACATATTGAAAATTTACTGTTTCCAGAGTGAATTAAGTCCACTGAAGAGTTCCAGGAAAGGTCCAGATTTTAAGGGTTCATTCCTATTTGACCAGAGGAACAAAAGCCTGAAAAGCTAAGCTCTTGGCTAATTCTAAACAAAATATCTATAAATATCTCCATAGAATCTATGGAGATTCTAAACAGGAGAGGTTTTAGGAATAGTTACACATTCCTAGGTGCAAGCATAAATAGATGCTGCCTTGTTAGAAGATTACATGGCAGGCAATGAAATAATTAATTCAGGAATGCTAGAAGTTTTTTTTTTAATTACATACCAGTACTGGCTTGTACTCTACCTCAAATTCTGCTATGTTGTCTTATTGTGGTAGGAATTGGGGTAGGGTCCTGGGAAGGATGAGTAAAGAAGCAGGAATGTACATCATATGTTTATACTCCCAGCAAGGTCAACCAAGGTATGAAGCTCATCCTAGCTGTCCAGTTAAAGGAAGGAGATCCATATATCGGGCAGAAGCTATACCGAAGATGCTGGGGGCAGATGACCACTTTAGTGACAATGGTAAAGGCAACCATCCATAACCTGGAAGAAATCAACAGTACACCAAAAACAGACAAGTGGTTGACGAGTGCTGGATGATGGGCTCTTTAGATTAGATGGCACTCAGCATGCTACTGAGGAAAAGCAAAGATTCTTTTGGATTACTAAAGGGTATTTATGACATGGCTAGATACAAGCTTTCAGAACTTCTAGTTACTAATGCTGCCAAGCAAGAAAAGAAAATCCTAAATTGTTAAGGAAATTGCAATAGGAACATGGAATGTAAGAAGCATAAACATGGAAAAGCTCAACAATGAAATATGACATTAATTAACTACATATTGACATCTTAGACATAAGTGAATTGAGCAAACAATGGCATTGTTCTCATAGGAAGGATATAGCAAAGACTACTGGGGTACAATCCCTGGTTCTCTTTCAACTAGATAAGTACCTATCTCCTGCTATTTTCAATAATGAGGTAATCATGGGATAATAGTAACCATAGAAGTTCCTCTCCCCTTTTTTGCTATTTGATCATTACAACTGTGAAATTAAAATATATATTAGTGGCTACCAAAGTCCAGGTTTTTTTTAAAAAAAGTAAAATGTTGAAAAACTGCATAAAATTAAATCTATTACAATTTTGCTGTTTGATCTGCATGGGAGACTAGAATTTATGGACATTTACAGCAATGGTGGGTTTCAAATTTTTTTACTACTGGTTATGTCGGTGTGGCTTGGTAGGCGTGGCATGGCTTGGTGGGCGTGGCAGAGGAAGGATACTGTAAAAACTCCATTCCCTCCCCAATCCCGGGGAAGGTTACTACAAAATCCCCATTTCCTCCCAATCAGCTGGGATTTGGGAGGCATAGAATAGATGGGGGCGGGGCCAGTCAAAATTTTTACTACTGATTCTCTGAACTACTCAAAAGTTCCACTACCGGTTCTCCAGAACTGCTGAAACCCACCTCTGATTTACAGAAACATGAACTGAGGTCAAAATGTGTATTTCCCAGTTTCAGATTTAATTCCCAGTGAGGTATAAAATGTCACTGAAACTTGAATAATTACTGCATATTTGTGTTAACTTCTAATAGCTAGGACCTAGTTAGCTCCGGAATAATTTAATATATTTTATACTTCAAACTGCTCATCCTCCAAATGGACTAATTCAGAAGGAGAATAAAAGTAGAAGTGTTCCCATATTCTTTAGCTAAGTAGGCAAATGCCTTGCAGCAGCTCATTTTAAATATTTCTCAGAATTTATTTTTTTAAAGAGCACTTTAAAAAATCCTGGATTTTGTACAAAAGTTTGCTATCGCGTATTGCGGATATTCCATAAGTCTCTAATAAGACATTTCCCTAATAATAATTCTATCTTTCCATACCCACATTATGTATTTCTAATTTTCTGAGATTCTAGAAACTCAGCCCTTGACTGGCTACTTCATTATATTCTATGCCACCACTTTTTGCAACTAGTGGTCAATAGTTGCTTATTATGTTCTCAATAATCCTTTGCTCCTCTACAATTAGAGAACTTCAGCTAGGCAGCACACATCTTAGTAACTGAACTGGGTATTTCAGGGACCAGAAATAAACGTCCCTATCCTCAAAGGAAAAAAAAAACCCTTCATGCTAGTATATCATTCACGTGTGTGTGTGTGTGTGTGTGTGTGTGTGTGTGTGTGTGTGTGTGTGTGATTAGAATGATTAGAAAGAAGGTGCTTTATAACCATCCTGAAGGTTCATTCGAACTCCCCCATGTCTAAACCTCTGAACACTAGAAACAAAACGATGTAACGTTTCCACACGCGCACACTCTGACCCAGGTTAGGCAAAAGATTCGCCGTTGCGCAACCCAAGACGTCAATTTACTTAAAGCTCCTCAAAATTGTTCCACCGAAATCAGGCTTTCAATTCCGAGGGAAAGCCAGTACCTGTCGCCACCCCCTTGATAACTAACGGAGGGCGGGGCGAGGGCCGGAAGTTCGTCGTGTCTTCTGGTTCGTGGGTGGGGGAGTGTCCATCATGGAGTCGCTTTGGAGGCTAAAGCGGTTCGATGCCTTCCCCAAGACGCTGGAAGATTTTCGGGTGAAGACCTGTGGCGGCGCTTTCGGTGAGGGACCGCCGGCTGCCCGAGGACTACAGGACTCAAGAGGGCTGCCGTTGGGAGGGAGACAAGAGGGGTGCCTCTTGGAGAGATCCTTGCTAGTTTAAAGCGGTCGTAAGTTGAGGCATAGTGTTTGTTGCACATGCAGACAGATAGGACCCGCGTAATGTTTCATGTGTGAACTGAAAAGAGTTTGGCGCATTTGTTATCGTTTGGTCTTGGGGATTGTTTGTGAAGTTGGACCTTTCGCAGCTTGGTGATCGGGAGCGAAATTGTGATATTGAAAAGTATCGAGGCTGAACTTAATGTGGTTTTTCTTCTGTGCGTTATGTTCTCATACCTAACGTTTTCTCAGTGCCCGCAAACTGCATCAATTCCTAAGGCACTATCTGTTGTTATATGTGCGTTGAATGTGTATGTGTATGTGAGGACATCGTTTAAAGAAAATCCAGCCTAGGCAGTTAAGTGTTTCCATTTTTTTAAAAAAGGCAAAATAATCTTTTAAGAATGCACAGAATAGCCAGGATTGTGAAATGATTGCTTAGTCAGTACATTATTGGTACCACTTGCTGCTAAGGAGCCTAAATATATTTTTGTAGCAATCTAATGAACTGTTGACTCTCTTGAGAAAAAAAATCAGACTCAGTAAACCATCTTATTCACTGTACTTTCTCCAGTCTAAAACCATATGGTAGATTAGATTTGTTTTTAACTTCGATCTTTCAGCCTTTGCCAGATGTCCTGTGTCATTGAATGCTCAGTAAAAATCCAAGAAAATAGGTCTTCTTTTGAGGAATGGTAAAAGGAGTCAAATTATCTTATAATGGCTTTCTTTATCATTGCTTATTTTAAAGTTCAGTAATCTATACGCTTTTAAAGTAACATAAAGATGAGACAAAGAATCAGAATTGATCTTGCACAGATAATGAATGGATGCTTTTTAGTGATTTCATTGCTTGTTTAAAATTTAAATGTTCTGAAATATAACATCTCAAAACTATTTTAAATCTTTTAAAATATATATGAAGCAATACATAATCTCTTTTAGGAGTATTTTTTTTAATTTTTTTGCTATATAGTACTTGCCATAATTTGTTTTTCACTTGTATTGATCCAAGCTTTTTATGTATTTGTCAGATAGGTAGGTATGTGTTTCTGAATCTTTTGCTGCCCAGGATTCAGAACCACTCCTTTAAATGTGTGCTTATAGATAGATAACAATAGTAGAAATTTTAATTAAAGCAGCTTCCTGGAATCTGAAAAAATGAAATATATGCATTGCTTTTTAAAACGCAAGTTGATTGCTGCTGCTGTTCAGCTGTCCTTTGGGACCTCTTTGAGGCTCAAAATACATGAGGCTCAAAATACATGATCAAAAGTCAACAAGACAAAGGAAGACTTTAAAGAAAGCTTGCATCCTTCTTGGAAGAAAATAAATATCAGTCTTCCATAGAGAATGAACATTTGCATGCAAAAGTTATAATATTTTACAAGTAATCATATAAAAAGTATACTATTGTATAGCTTTTAAAAATTATGGTGAGAATAATGGCTGGTTGTTTAGTATATGAATATTTAACAGTTTATTATTGAAGAGAAATGAATATTACCTAATATTTTATTTTTTCACTTTTTTAAAGGTCTTAAAAACTAAGAAGGGACTTTCCCCCTGATTTTTTTATTTTGCTGGTATAGTAAAAGCATTGCACCATATTGCATCTGAATAACACAAACATGTTTGTTTTACCAAATGGTCCTGCATTAGGAAGTTTCATCAGGCATTTACTTTTCCACATGCAGCTGGCATGCAATATATATTTTTCACATGTTTTTGTATACATTGTTTCTATGAATATAATATTTGTATATAAAAAGTTTCATACAAGGAATTATTTTTCAAGCATACAGCAAAAGTCAATCAGGTTATATGGTAGTGCAGTTCAAGACTAGTTAAATTATTTCTTGGATTGGTTCATCATTCCAAAATTTAATATTGATTCAAAATTTTATTAGAAAGCTTTCTTTCAGAGGTGTGTGGGTGGGTGGGGGAGGTGGTCTGCTAATTTGTTGTACCTAAAACAGCTGTTACGTTGTCGTAAACCAGTCCTTATTCCAGCTACATTTTTATGGACTAGAATTCAGGGGTGTCAAACTGGCAGCCTATGGGCTGGATGTGTCACATACAGGCCACACCCACCCCAGCTCCACGAATGGGAAAAATGTCGTGAAATGTCAAGTGATGGCAATGTGTCGCGGCGAGTTTGATGCCATGGACAAATGGATACCTTTGTATTTTAAATAAAAAGATGGTGTTGAATCCTTTTCTCTCAACAAGGAGTTACATAGAGGCTGATTGGTTTCCTGAAAAATCTTCAAATTTTTTATGCATTCTTATAGTGCTGGGCATTTTAATTGGAGGCACTAGGTCCGTGATGGCTCTGCCGCATATGTGCATGCGCCTCCCGCCGGCCAGCTGGTCTTTAGGTCTCTGCCGCACATGTGTGGGGGTGGGGGGCATGCACAGGGGGCAGGGGGCATGCGCAGGGGATGCTCGCATTGCATTTGGGGGTTCACGTGCATGCTTTGGGCACTCGGTTGCAAAAAGGTTAACCATCACTCCACTAGGTGATCTGCAAAGGGCCTAGCCCTAAGCAATTCATCCAGGTATTCCCTGCATGATTTCTTCAGTAAGCCAAACATGATTTTAGTGTTATTTTCTTAAAAGATATATGCATTTTCATTTCCTGTCAGGGAAGCCATAGTGACGGCCCCTGTTGGTATCCCATATGTTTATAGCACATATAGAAATATACAAAAATTCTTAGGGAGATGATGATGATGATTTGCAACCCAAAATCTCTGAGAGTGAATTAGGCAGCCATTTAAATTTTCTTGAATAAATAAAAAAATCGATCAACCTTGTATGCTGCTCAACTCTCAATGATCACAACAAAGAAGTTACAATAAAATCAGTAACATATAAATGGCTGTTGTTTGGTGATAGATCAAATGCTTTGCGATGCAGAGCACTTCAGGCTCAGTTCCTGCTATTTCTGTAGCATGGGAAAGGTCTGTTTGAAATTATAGAACAACTGTCTGTCGGTATAGATAGATCATTGATCTGTCCAGTTAAATACTTTACAGCTTCTATGCTCAAATGTTAATACAGTGATAAATGTATGAGTTTTAAGATATGACAACATGTAACTTTCCTAATATTCCTGTCTTCATATACAGTGACTGTAATCAGTGGACTCATCATGTTCTTCCTGTTCTTCTCAGAGCTCCAGTACTATCTTACAAAGGAGGTAAATGAGTCTGTTTCTTTCTTCTTGTCCTAGGATACACATTTCTGAATATAAACATTTGATTTTCTCACATGTTGTTTAGAAGCAGATACTATATTAGATATGACCAAATGGATTCAAAGTTTCCTACTTGCCCTATGAAATCTAGGCAGCTATGGGCCAGTTATTGTCTTTCAGGCAAATTTATTTTACAAGATGCCTCGAAAGATAAAAGGTAGATCAAATGCACCATTCTGAAAGTGGAATAAAAGAGTAAAATTTGCTTTTATAGTCCATTTTGAGGACTTATACAAGCAGAAAGTATATATTTAATGATATATTTTAAAATATAGGTGTATATGTTGAAATCTGTCTATTTGTATTATACATTTGATTAAAATTAATGTAGTTGAAGTCATTAATTGCTATTCTCCCATTGCATTTTTTTTGTTGCCTCTTTTGCCCTCATCTAATCAAAGGAAATATTACTTCGGGTTCCTATCTTCTACCTTAATATGACTGTTGTGCCTCAGGAGGATTTTCCTTTTCTTTATAACAGGTGTCTTGAAATATAAAAATTGTGTGTCTCCTTCTCACTACACTGTAGTATGTTCCAGCTGAATTCCTTACCTTATTGCCCTCCAGATATATTGGGCTACAGCTCTGAGGAGTCCAGAATATTGGCTCTGCTGACTGGTCTTTATGGGACCAGTCCAAAATCAATTTCTTTGCTTTAGATTTCCAAAATCCACAACTAGTCCTCTTTAGTTCTTTGAATATAGGATGCTTAAAAGCAAGCTTGTTTTCAAACCATTTAAGCAAATTAAAAAAAATTCCTGATGAATTTTTGAATTGAATTTATTTATTCATTTATTCAGGTGTAATATGAAAGAAAATACCAGAAATCTCTTTTGGGTCTCACCTTTATTAAATTCTCATGGAGTCTGGTTTAAAATTATCCCATCAAATAAGGTGGGAGGCCATAAAGTTGGGATTGTAGGATTGTCCTCACTAAATAAATCAGTCATGTGATATCATGCTAAGCAATGACAATCTTGGTCTCAGTTGCCAATATGTGAGCCAATTACTCTTTGAACACTTTGCAAGGTAGTAAAAACTGTTTTAAAAACAATAATAAAATATAACATAAAATGGTAGCATTAAAACTCCTGGAAAAACAATCATATTTTAAATCTGCTTCTAAACTGAAATAAAAAAGGAACTTGCTTTAAATCTGGTAGTAATTTGTTCACTAATATGAGCCTTGTCATCGAGAAATCTGAATTGGTGCCTGATGTCAAACATATCCCATTGTGTCCCATTGATTTAAGAGGGCAGTAAAAATGTATGGGAAAAAGTGATCCTGTAAGTAGCTTGGGTCTAAGCTATAAATGACTTTTTGCTTGTTTATTTTCTTTATCTTTAGATTCACCCAGAATTATATGTTGATAAATCAAGGGGAGATAAGCTACGGATAAATATAGACATTGCTTTTCCACATATGCCATGTGCTTGTGAGTAAAGGGTATTGAATTTTGCTTTTTAGTTAATTGAAATGATGGAAAATGGACACTCCTTGGCTTCACATAGTATTTTATAATATTGTAATTAATCTTCTTAGGAACATGTGTTTGGAACTCTGCAAAATAAAGTAAGATTTTACCTAAAATTAAAAGTAAAATCTTAAAAGTGAGATTTTACTTAAAAGCCAGTACAGTCCTAGGCTGCACTAACAGAGGGATAAAACCAAGATCACACAAAGTGTTAGTACTACTTTATAATGCCTTGTTATTACACCACACTTGCATCCAGTTTAGGTCGCCATGATTAAAAAGATTGAGACTCTAAAAAGTGCAGAGAAGAGCAACAAAGATGACTAGGAGACTGGAGACTAAAACATGAGGAACATTTGCAGGAATTGGGTATGTCTAGTTTAACAAAAAGAAGGAGTAGGGGTACCATAACAGCAGTGTTCCAATTTCTCAGGGCCTGCCACAAAGAAGAAGGAGTCAATTTATTTTCCTGAAACACCTGAGGGCAGCAGAACAAGAAGCAATGGATGGAAACTAATCAAGAAGAGAACCAACCTAAAACTAATAAGAAATTTCCTAACAATTAGAACAATTAATCAGTAGAATAATTCGTCTCCAGAAATTGTGGGTGCTCCAAATCTGGAAGTTTTTAAGAAGAGATTGGATAGCCATTTTTCTGAAATGATATAGAGCAGTGATGGCTAATCGCTTGCCAAAAGTGGGGGGAGTGCGGGTGTGTGTGTGTGTGCACACGCGTGCCCACACCCATAATTATATGTGCCCTGCCCCCACGCATGTGTGCACAACCCCCCTGCGCTCCCCCGCTTTTGGCACATGATGGCACAGTGGGCCAGGCTCTCCCCAGGCTCCAGAGCCTCTCTAGGGGCCTGGGGAGAGCAAAAACAGGCCTTCCCCACCCCCCCCAGGCCCTCCGGAGGCGGGAAACAGCCTGTTTCCCTACTTCTGGTGGGCCCAGAAGGCCCAAAAATCAGCTGGCTGGCGCGCACATGTGTGCCAGAGCTGAGCTTGCGTGCCCACCATAGGTTCGCCATAACGGGTATAGGGTTTCCTGCTTGAGCGAGAGGTTGGTCCCTTCCAACTCTGTTATTCTGTTATTCTGTTAAGATGGATGCTGATTACAAGGTAGTAGTATTGAAGTGGTAAAAGGAAGTACTACTCTTAAGGGTTCAGACATAAACAACCGTGAGATATAAGTAAATGTTATTTAACTTGTGGCTTGATTTTCAGTAACTCATGTATTAGTATTGATTCAGAATTCTTCCCTTAGATCTTAGCCAGTATGATTATGGATCTACATAGATTTTTGATTATCCAGTCTTCTAATTGCTATAGTTTTCAAGAAAACTTCAGTGTTCTCATTAATGGTCCAATAGATATGTTGTGTACTATAATTGGCTCACAAATCGGTTTGGAACAGTCTGTGTTTGTTACTTACAGATTTGAGCATTGATGCAATGGATGTGGCTGGAGAGCAACAATTAGATGTTGAACATAATCTCTTCAAACAACGCTTGGATAAAGATGGCAAGCATGTGACTCCAGAAGCAGAAAGACATGGTAGAATAGATATACTGTTCCAGTGTGGGAGCAGTATTACAGACGAGATGGTAACACTGGGTTTAGTTTCATGACATCTGATTTTCAGGGTATAAAAGTGACAGACTGGCATAAGTTTCTATTGTGGCCAGATATTTGGTATAACTAATAGAGATGGACCAGTATTAAGAGCCATGGTGGCACAGTGATTAGAATGCAGTGCTGCAGGCTAATTCTGCTGACTACCGATTCTCAGCAGTTCGGCAGTTCAATTCTCACCGGCTCAAGGTTGACTCAGCCTTCCATCCTTCCGAGGTTGGTAAATGAGGACCCAGATTGTTGGGGGCAATATGCTGACTTTGTAGACCGCTTAGAGATGGCTGTAAAGCACTGTGAAGTGGTATATAAGTCTAAGTGCTATTGCTATTAGTGATGTTTGAGTATGCACTACACCAGGGGTGTCAACCTCAATTTCATTGAGGGCCGCGTCAGGGTTGTGTTTGACGGGACGGGTGGATGTGCACGCGGTCCTCCCAAGCTCTGTTTTCACTGGCAGAGTGTTGAAGGAGGCTATGGCAGCCAAAAACAGAGCTCGGGAGCCCATTTTTACTCGCAGAAGCACTGCGGGCCGGTCCTTTGCTGTTTCCAGGTGGCCCCGCAGGCCAAATCTGAATATCCCACGGGCCGGATCCAGCTGCCAGGCCTTGAGTTTGACACCCCTGATCTATACTTAGTCATACATTACTTTTACAGTTTTTATGTCTTTATTTCAGAATTAGGAAAAGAAGAGGAACTTTTCTTTGATCCAAATTCATTAGATCCTGAACGCTGTGAAAGCTGTTATGGAGCAGAATATGAGGATATCAAGTATGTTTTACTTTTCTTACTATGACTTGGAAGCAAAAAAATGGTTTGGGGAGGGAGCTGCATAGCTACATTGTTTTCTGAACTTGCTAAGAAGAATTAAGTTTGTGGTTGTTTGTAGTTTTGTTGATATTCTTGCATGTTTTCTTGCCTAAAACATACGGGTTTACCAGGCTTTTCATTGTTAATAGAGGATAGGAAATGGATTTCAGTCAACTATTTTTCCAGTAATAGCAGACAGATTGAATCTAGTTGAAATTGAAATTGGTGGAAGTTTCAGCCACTTAATTTGGGTTTGGATTGAATCACTGGTTTCACTCCAGGGTAAACCCTTATAAAGTCTCTAGGCAGATAGGCAGATAGGATTGCAAACTGTGCAATAAGAGTTTTGCTTGAAACAAAGCTGCTGGGTGGAAGTCTTTTATTGCATTATTTTCTTAGATTATTTCTTAGGAAGATTAGATTCTTAGATTATTTTCTTAGGAAGATTACTTGCAGGTATTTGTAGTACCTACAAGTTGTTAATTGCAACAGTAACTTACTATGTGTGTGCTGTCTCCCAAATATGGTCCAATATCCCCTGTCCCTATAAGTTAGCAGATGTGAAGTCTGCTGTGTACCTGGGAGCATGAAATATTTCTGTTTAATTCCTCATCTCAAAAGAGATCCCCTTTTGAGACCTTCTGACAAGCAAAGACAATAGAGAAGCCAGATTCACTTAACAACCATTACTAACTTAACAACTGCAGTGATTCACTTGACAACTGTGGCAAGAAAGGTCATAAAATGGGGCAGAGTTCCCTTAACAAATGTCTTGCTTAACAACAGAAATTTTGGGCTCAATTGTGGTCGTAAATTGAGGACTAACCTGTACTACTGTGATGTCTGTCTTAACTTTTTCTGCCTCTCCCAGTTTTCATACACTTTGGAAATGCCATGGCAGACATCTAGCAGTCTATCTAATATTACTTTCAGTTCATACAGGACTCTGGAAAAAAAACACCTGACAATCATAATTTTCAGGCTTTGTAATGTATGTGATAGCAGCAAACTATAGTAAACTTTTCCCCCTATTTCTAATGAATGTGTTATGCATGTTGTTTTCTGGCAGATGCTGCAATACTTGTGATGATGTGAGGGAAGCATACAGGCGTCGAGGGTGGGCCTTCAAGAATCCAGATACTATAGAGCAATGCAAGAGAGAAGGTTTTAGCGAGAAAATGCAGGAGCAAAAAAATGAGGGATGCAAAGTATATGGATTTTTAGAGGTCAATAAAGTAAGCATGGCAATTTTTTATCATCGCTCTGCATTGGCATTTCACTCAGTATAAAAGGTTAATCATGCTAAGTAGAAGTTTAGTATAAATAGTCCTCAACTTCTATTGTGTTTCCCCAAAAATAAGACCTTGTCTTATATTTTTTTGAACCCTAAAATAAGTCCTTGGCCTTATTGCTGTGCGCTCAAGAGCCCGATTGGGCTTATTATCAGGAGATGTCTTATTTTGGGGAAAACAGGGTAGCAGTTCATTTAGTGTCCATTCAAAGTTACAACAGCATTTTAAAAAGTGACTTATGACCATTTTTCACACTTACAACAGTTGTAGCATCCCCATGGTCGCATGATCAAAATTCAGATGCTTAGCAGCTGGTCATATTTATGACTGTTGCTGTGTCCCAGGGTCATGTGATAACCTGTTGTCACCTTCTGATAAGCAAAGTCAAGTCAGATTCACTTAACAACCAAGTGTGACTTGGACAGAACACCACATATCTTTAGCCATTCAAACTTTCACTATGAAATAATTGTTTAATGCAATTAAACAATTCAGTAGAATGGATTGTTTCTGAGTATGTGCTTTTCAGTAAGAATGGCATTGAGTTTAAACATAGTTAGGCATACGTTTGAGGCAGTGCCTCTTTTCAGTGTGCAGTTCAGTAAACAATTTGCATTTAAAATGAGGATGGGGTATCTTACATAAGGGCTATATATGGCTGATATATTGAACATTTTTTGTCATGTTGAATTTAACTGTTACAAATGAAAACACAAAGGATTTATATATGACACTATTTAAAATATTAGAAGCATCTGTTCAGATTCCATTTCAGGCAAAGGCATATGTGCTCCTTTTAAATATTCAAATAAGAGGGATTTTCTTAATTTAAAAAGACACACTTTTCAAAGCTGCTGCTGTTTGGTGTAGAGAACTATATAATTGAATGAAATCTGGATTTCTCTTACAGGTAGCTGGCAATTTTCACTTTGCACCAGGAAAAAGCTTTCAACAGTCCCATGTTCACGGTAAAGTAACACATGCATTGAATATATTACAAACGTCCCTGCCTCCTTCCTTAAATTTTAGAATACATTAACTGATTGATGGTGCTTATATAATATCAGTCCAGTTACTGCACAGTAGTTGTCATTAACTCTAGCAGTATAACTAATATATCATTCCTGGAGTGTAGAAGAACTAGCAAGAGGAAAGATTTCAAAAGTACTGTTTTCATGAGAAGAAAAAGGGGGTAATATCCAAGGTTCTGTGTGTGTGTGTGTGTGTATGTGTGTATATGTGTACACACACAAACAATATAAACACAAATAGTTTCTTATCATAATTTCCTTCTGTACTGGAAATGCTATAAGTACAATTTTAAAGGCATTCAGATGATATGATCATCTGTTTCCTTTGCAGGACTGATTTAATAAAATATGTTTTCAACATATAAAAATAAAATATCAACATACATGACATTCAGTACACTTTAGATCAAATAAATGTTGGATATTTGAGACTGAAAAATGCATATGTAATTTAAAGCAACAAACATTAGGTTTGTTGCTTTAAATGATGCCCAGCAATTTTATTGCAGCTGTGGCACTGTACTGTAGTGCTATTTCCTTTTCTTATGTGGCACTTGAGACTTTCTACATGAAACTGATTGGAAACTATTGGTTGGATTGTGAGCTAAAACTGAGTAAATAAGCTTACCCTCTTCAAGAGGAAGAAGGACGTTGGCTTCTGCCCAAAGCTTGCAAATTTACTTGAACAAACTGTGTATAATAATTTCATGAAAGTTGAGTCGAATTCTGTGTTGGCTACTCTCCATTATAGTTTTTCATTTTTGTGTGGAAAGTCTCTTTGGCAGTTCTTTATTCATTTTTCTGATGTTTGACATACAATTGCCTGCAAAAGGTATAAGATCTTGGTCAAAAGTATTTAGTTCTTTCTTTGTATTCTAAGAATTTATTTTCTAAAAAGAATTAAGTCAAAATGCCCTGAGTAGGATAGCACCTCTGTAAATTTATCATTTATTATCTATTACATGCAGTCCTAACTGAATTAGGTAATGTTCAAACATTTGGAAATATGCATGCATGCTGTTGAAATTAAAGTCTTGGTGATTTATTTTATTTGCTAATTCTGTACTGTTATAATAAAGGGGACTAATTTCTCCTGTTAAGGCTTGGTAATACTTAAGGATTTGATCAAACTGAGGATGATATTAGATATAGCATTTTTGGTTCAAGGATTTGGGAATGGGCGTTATATGGCTATGATGTTCCATTAAAATATTGAGGTTGTTTTGATGACAATTTTGTTCTTAAAAAAACAATTTTCCTGAACATTTAGAGGGTGTACTACTACTTATCCTTTCTAATCCATTGAATCACACAAATTTTCTTATACAAACTATATATGTGTGAAGTAGTAAGGCCCCCTTCAAACTTTCTGTAGAGTATATATAAAGAGCAGAGATAACACCATTGCAAAGTTAGCAAACATAGTTTTGAAGAAGATAGGATTTATAACAAACAATGATTTAAGGTAAACTTTGTAGAAGCATCAATGTTATCAGTTATCAACTCTTCACGCTGCATTATGTTCCAAGAGGAATACATTGGAATTTTTATAAAGCTTATATATCAGAAGTAATTGACGTCTATCATTCAATAGAATTGTCAGGTTTGTCCCATAAACCTAACTCTCAATATCAAATCAAATCTTTAAAAATGAAACAAGTATTTACATTTTTATGTTGGTATGATTGGCTTGGTAGGGTCTGGCTGTTATGCTTTGTAGGTTTTGTGTTTTTATAGTGCATTTAAAATTGAAATTGGGCTGATTTGTTTGTGCATGTTTTAGTACCTTGCTGATGTTCAGTGTCAGAGTGCAAGTTTAGATGCAGGTTCTATCAGTTTGTTTATTGAAACACAACAGTGCTTTTCTTCCTTTTTTTTTTTTTGCTGTTGTAGTGTAATAATATTTAAATAAATAATAAAGTTATTTATTTAAAAGCAAGTGGTCTGGTGATTAAATAGTCCAATAGTGATGATGGTGATGATGCTAATTTGTACTCTTGGTGGTGGTAGTTATTGTACAGCAACAATCTATTGCTTATTATGCTTTTCTTTTGCTGTGGAAGAGAAAGAGAGAATTTTTTTGCATGTCCCATCTCTCGTAAGAAGCAAGGGCCTGGTAATGATTACTTCACCCTTCCAGACCCCTAAGCATCAGCAAGATATTACTGTACTTGGCTGACCACAGAAAATCACATTAGAGCATTTTCTTCTTTCTTTTTGCTGTGGGAAAGAGAAAAGTTGTTTGTACTTTGTCATGAGTTGACAACAGGCCTCTTAGTACAAGTGATGCCCATCAATTGCATTATTTTACTTTTTTGTGCCTTAAACCCTCAGAACATTTTAAGCTTTAAAATGATTGACAGTTTAGTGCTGTATGATGATTCATCCTCAAGTTAGATGGCATGCTACTGAGGAAGAGCCGGAGTTATTTTTGCCATTTTGTGTTTGTGATACAATTACATTAAAGCCCTTGGGATAGTTAGTTGCTGATGCTGCCATGCAGGAAAAGAATATCTGAAGCAGCAAAGAAAAAATTACAGTGGGAAACATGGAAGGTAAGAAGCATGGCCATGGGAAAGCTCAACATGGTGAAAGATGAAACTAACTAATTACACCCTGACATTTCAGTGATTAGTGAATCAAATGGACTGAAATTGGACACTTTTAATCAGATGGTTTTATTTATTTATTTATTAAATTAAATGCTGCCCATTCTGCTATCCAAACGGCCAAGGGCAATTTACAATATACTACGATTATACTATTTAGTGTTCAGAACACAAATAAAGAAATAATGGCCTTTTTCAAGTCAGGAAAAATATAGCAAAGATCATCCTTGAGTACAATGCAGCCAGTATCTAAATAATATCAATTAAATTTTGCAGACAACCCTTTAATACAACAGTTAGGCAGCCACTGATGCAGGAGGGGCTGACAGGTTTCATAGTCAAATTCAATCTGAAATTGACTGAAAATGCAAGCAAGATGTGTTGTGCTTAGACCCAGGAATTTCAATGTTGGAAATAGTAGCTAGCCAAATATTCTCAGGAACAGAAGTGAAGCAGGAGAACCACTTTTCAGTGTTTGCTACTTTAATTATTTCTTCATTACATCATATTGATACAAGGAAATGGAAGAGCTCAGTTTTAACAGCAAGATGTGGCTAGAAGCTTTGCAACAGATCCTCGTGTGCAAGTTCTAAGTCAAGATAAACCAGAAGAATAAAGTCAAAATAGTTTCCAAAATATGATCTGGAGCATATACCCACTGTTTTCAAGGAGAACATCGGGAATCACTTTGAAGTCCTGAATCTCATTGACAGGGAACCAGAAGAACTCCGAAATAAAATCAAAGAAACTTCCAATCTCAAACTGATATGCTGAAGAAGATGAAAGATGGAAGGAATGTACTGAAATTCTGAACAGCAACGATGTCAATATTCTAAATACCTATTTACAACAACAACAACTTGATAGCACAATAAAAAAATCTGTATGAAACCTAGCCAACTTGAAATGTTCCAGTGGAGCAGGGGTTGCCACAGAGAGGAAGGAGTCAACTGTCAAGCTATTCTCCAAAGCACCTGAGGGCAAGACAAGAAGCAAGGCATGGAAACTAATCAAGGAGAGAAACGACCTAGAACTAAGAAGAAATTTCCTAACAGTTAAACAATTAATCTGTGGAACATCTTGCCTCCTGAAGTTGTGAATGCTCCAACACTGGAAGTTTTAAAGAAGAGATTGGACAACCATTTGAAATGGTATAGGGCAGGGGTGGGCAACTGTGGCCCTTTTACAACCTGTGGACTTCAATTCCCAGAATTCTTGAGCCAGCTTGGCTGTCTCAGGAATTCTGGGAGTTGAAGTCCACAGGTTGTAAAAGGGCCACAGTTGCCCACCTGGTATAGGGTTTCCTGCCTAAGCAGAGGGTTGGACTAGAAGACCTCCAAGGTCCCTTCCAATTGTTATTCTAGCATTCTGAATGGGGTTGCATTGCCCAGTCATGAAATAGAATGTTTCTTGTTTTATGCACATTCTATTTTATAGATCATTGAAACCAGTTTCACACACATTTTAAAAATATGTGTTTCAAATACCTTATACTTTACACGGAGCGAAGTACTATTTTTCAACTAAACATGGGTAGAAATTCCTACTATAAATGATAGAGATCTATCATGGTTTCTGCATATATGCACAGTATTTACATTTGCTACTGCATAATATGAGAAACAATAATTTTGAAAATAAACATTATGATTTTCCAAATGTGGGTTCAGTTAGATATTACCTTTGCATTTCATCTTCCTGCTTAGTTGAATACATTCTATATTGCCTTGATCAAATCCTTAAGAGTTTATGTTACAGTAATGTTTCATGAGTTTAGTTGCTAAGAGGAATGTTTAAACAATTTATATCTAAATATTCCTTTATATTTCTTTAAGACCCTTGACATTAAAGAGTAATTTTTATATATTTGGTAGATCCTGCTGAAATAAAGTGTCTCTGAAATCAGTATTTTACAGAATAATTTACAGAATAATTACAACTAAATTGGGATAAATTTATAGAAGCTTTTTTTTCTTTTTAATTTATCCCGAATGAGTTTAGACATCAATATAGGCATAGTTTTAACACTAAAACGATTGTGAAATTGTGGAGAAGAAGACAGTTTAGGGTCATAATGGAAAATTTTAAAAGATTTATGTATGCATTTACTATTGAGGAGCTATTTATTTAATTTAGTTATTTAAATTAAATTATTTAAGTTATTTAAGCTATTTCAATTTAAGATTGTATCATGTATCAGTTACTTGGAAATGCTGATTCTAAAAAATTCAACTTTTAGAGTTTTTTCAAAAATACATAATTGTCTCATACAAAAAAGGCTTGCTCCAGTAACTTTATGTGTTGTCTGTCTTTTTGCAGTTCATGATCTTCAGAGTTATGGACTTGACAATGTAAGTTCCCTAAGGGAGCTTGTATCTGAGCTTTCTATTTATATTGGAAGGGAGAAGAGATCTATCAGCTATGTACATGTAGATAATTTGTCATATATTACTGTGGCATCTGTAGAGAATAACAACATCATAATTGTAGGAGGAATAAAATTATTCTATTTAAAATTATTGTAGAGTTCATTATGCAATGCGTTCATGCTTTTAAAAAAATCCCTCTCCCCTTTTGCTAGAATTGTTGTCCTCTTTGATAGAGGACGTAGCTCAAACAAACAACCTATCTCTTTCTTACGGCTGCTGTTCCCAGGAGGGAGTACAGATGTATAATTGCCCAGGGAGAGCTGCACTGCTTCTGCCCTCTGGTAATGTACACACAGAAAGGAAACAATAAGAGTACAATATGTCCTGGCATAAACTGGCACAGGTGCTAAATACTTGTTGTTCCAATCCACAAAGATGGAAGCCTGTAAAATGCATGTGTGTGCCTAGGCACGGGCTGGGAACTAATGAATAACAAGAGTCATATTTCATCCATGATATGAAATGGTACCTGTGTTGTGAATGGCCCCCAGCCTGTTCCATCTGTGCTATTTCTGCAACTCCTTGACATTTTGGGACTTTGTTTCTTTGCTTGTTTCAGATAAACATAACACATATTATCAGGCATCTTTCATTTGGGAAGGATTATCCAGGTCTTGTGAACCCACTTGATGGAACCATTGTCACAGCTCATCAAGGTATTAGTTTGAAGCAGCCTTTCAATCTAAACTGGTAAATAAAGGTGACAATCAGCATAACATTTGTTTACCGTTTGTTGGGTGCTTAAGTAAAATAGATTTGGCTAAACTAATAATTTTAATTATAAAATGGAGCTTGGTAACTTTTCAGCAGAACCATAGAAATGCAACTTTCCCTCTCTTTTTTACTTCAGACTAAGAAGTATATGCCCAATGGCACCATATCCTCTCTTCTTTTTCCATGTTTTCATTAGCAATGTGGATAGAGTTAGGCATTAATAGATATCCCCTAATTGCATGGTCGTCTTTACAGTATCATCTTTTAATTTCTTTTAGCTTCTTCAATTTGTTTGAAGGGGAGAGCAACAAAAAGAGAAAAGTTTGTCAATCTTACTGGATGATTATTTTAAGGAAGAAGTCCTGGCCTCCTCTCATTTTACTCTCTTCATATGTCATCTTAGTTTGATTAATTGTAGATCCAAATTGTTATAATAAAAATAATTTTATGATTGAGAGTCTGCTGAAATTCATAAAAATTCATAAAACACCATCCCTAAAATGGCTGGTGCTAATCTATTTCAAATTGTTGCTGAATCCTAAATCATTGTTTTAAGATTCTTGAAGTTTTAAAATTTCTTGAGGTTTTCTCCACAAAAGTATCAAAACTACTTTTTGATAGTTGCGTGCAATTACAAGCCACTTCCTATTCTGAAAAACACTTTAAGATCTGTGCAAAACAACACTGTTTTCCACATCCCTAGTTTTTAGATGTCCACAGTAGGTGGCAGCACCTACAAATCTTGGCTTATCTGAGGAAAACTAAGCAAGGTCATACCTGATCAATACTTGGGTGGGAGACTATAAATAATCTCAGGATTATTAACTGAGAAGTCTTAAAACATCCAGAAAGAAAGTGGCTACATAAATATTATCACATAATCATCAGGAATCTATGTTAATAATTAATTCTGGAGGAAAACTTGGGGGGTTTTTCCCCTCAGGCAGCAATGTAATAAGATGTATGGTAGTCTTTTTTTGATATTGAGTAGAGTTTCACAAGCTGTGTGAAGAGAATGGGAAGATAAGATGCTGGTGGATTTCATGCCCAAATCTATTAATGCCTATCAAATTACTGATTGAGTTCTACTAAAGTCAATTTTGGTTACTTTATACTTGGCACGAGCTATTCGGTTGTTTGAGTCCCTGTATGGAACAATTGGGGGGGGGGGGGTTGTTCCAAATACAGTGGCCCAGAATGCATTTTCCAGTTAGAAATGGTTTGAGGAAGAAATGGGGAAAAGTCACTCTTGGTTTTCTGTGCCAATAATGTATGTGGACATCCCTGGCAGTGAGGGATTTCCTTTGCAGTGGGATGTGCAAACACTGATGGCAATTGTGGTTGTTGCGGGGAAGCAAGGAAGGAAAAGTGTTTGGTGATGGGATGGCTGACAATATAAATGCAATGAAAAATGAGGTGATGCAAACCAGCTTTGTTATGCCCTGTAAAATCACTCTGGGATTTCTTCCAATTTTATTTCAGCCTGAAGTTGGAACAACCACAGTGATTTTTTTCCCTCCAGCTGAACCACATTTAATCCAAAACAATCCACCAGAGTCATTAGACACCATACAGTATTTGTACTGGGTTCAAAAGACAGAATATTTTCTGTTTCACCCATTATGATTTTATTTTGTCTTTTAGCTTCGATGATGTTCCAGTATTTTGTAAAAGTAGTCCCCACAGTATACATGAAAGTTGATGGTGAGGTAAGAGCTGAATATTGTCTTTTCTTTAAATAGTTTTGTTTAAATTTGGTTAAATTCAACATTAGATGAACAGTCTTTTATTCAGATTCTGTTATTGTTTTCTTTTCCTTTTACATATCCCCCCAAATCTGCTGTGAGAAACGCAGGTGGAGAGGTTACAGGATGAAGGAGAGTTCAGATTTTCAGCAGAGTCCTTTCTGGGGGGCAAGTAGTCTGCTATATTTAATTGGGAGTGGAGAGATAGCATTCATAAATACAAGATAGAAAATTACAAACAATTCCAGATACTTTGTTATTAAGCCATGAATAGCAGGCATAGGATCTTCCAAAATATGAATCATAGATATTTTTGAATTTTTGAAAGGATTGCAGGTCACTGTTACTATGGTTGCAGTCTCCTTGCATACATAAAAGAGAAATGAGTGACATGTACTTCAGAATGCTTCTACCTAAAGAATATGCAAAGCCATACACAGTTAGCTGCATTTTTCTTTTCTTCAGTTTAGATGATGCCTAACCCTAATCAACTATTTTAACGTTTTTGTAGATGGTGAGGACAAATCAATTTTCAGTAACAAGGCATGAAAAAATAGCTAACGGACTAATTGGAGATCAAGGCCTACCTGGTGTGTTTGTACTATATGAGCTTTCCCCAATGATGGTGAAATTAACAGAGAAGCACAGGTGAGAGATTCTCAACATTAGCCTGAGTGTGAAGCTCATTTTCCCCCAGACAAAATTTCATTTAACGTGTCTATAGAAGCCATGTGAAATGTGTGATGCATAGAGATAGATAATAAATGTGGTTTCTGGAAGACAGTCTTTGAAATAGAATCAACAGATCCAAATTGATCTGACTATGTATCTGACTTTTGTCTGCCTATAAATGTAATCATAAATGTAATCAATGAAATGGCTTTAATAAAACAATTTTCTCACTGATTTCAATTTTTGCCTTCAGAATGTAAATATATGTTAATCTGAGGAATGTTTTTTCCAAATCCAGGTCCTTTACACATTTTCTCACAGGCGTCTGTGCTATTATTGGAGGAGTGTTTACAGGTAACTGTATTTTTGTGTTAAAAAATTTAAATAGTTTTCTATTCATTTTGAATCTGAAATTAGTTTGTAAATGTTGATCAATGCATCATACTTTCAGGTCATTTTCAAATCAGTTCTGCTACAAGATTTCAGAATTACCATTATGAATGGAAATAAAATGATAAATAGGGAAAAATTGACAGTTGCTATTAGTAATAATATTTGTGGCTTCTACTTAATATACAGCTTTTGAAAAACTATAACTCCTGATTGATTCAATAATATTAAATTGACATGGTTAAGAATGTATTATACCATAAGAATAGAATTTGGAACGAATGCCAGCAGGGTTCTTTTTATTTTGTGGCAATATTGCAGGATTTTTTTCTTTTTTTCTTTTCTATATGGGTAATTAAACTGACCTTCCTTTCCCTCTTTTCAGTTGCAGGACTCATTGATTCTTTGATCTATCATTCAGCTCGAGCCATTCAGAAGAAAATTGAACTTGGAAAAACTACATAGATTAGTATCTACAAACCTTCCTAAAAGACTTGAAAAATTGAAAAATAACCCTAACATCAATGTCCAATATGAATGTGCCAAGTGAAGATAATTGGACTTTTGAGAAGAGACTGACATTCCAGCCCTGGGACAAGTCAAACAGGGATTAAATTTAAAGATCAATGTTTGTGGCTGTTAAAACATTTCTGTTTTAATATTCACATTAATCTGTTGGCATATATTTCAATTTCTATATTCCAAAAGTGTCATCCAGAATATAGACCACAAGAACTTCTATATGTCTAAACTAGTTATTTCTAATTTAATTTGTATTTAGTGATACTGTAAATTGTGTGGTTGAAATAAATTCTCAGGAAAATGTTTTACTAAAGTGATGTGATAATTTACTTTTTAAAAGCTTGTTTATGTAGTATCAAGAGTTGTTATATACCAAAATATTCCATATGGCAGCCATTTTTCCCCTCTTCATTGGTATATAATACTTTAATTCTAACCCCAGTCTGCAATAGGTCACATGTTCTTCATCTTTGGGTATTCATTTTCTAAACTTGATTAGAATATTCACACAATACAGTGTGAAGTTATTGGTTCCTGTCTTGCACTTCTTTTCCCAGTGCCTCATATATTTATTAGCAGTATCTCATTCTTCATTTCACTGTCCAGCTGATGGAAGTATCCTGTTCATTAATCATTGTGATGATTGATCAGGTAAGGCAATTATTTATGGTTGTGATAATGATGACGTATTGAATTTATGCCTACTCTAGGCCAAATATTTTGGAACCTAATGTACAAATAGTTTCCTTACTGGCTTCCACTCCATCTTGTGGATATATATTAACTGTACCACTATGGCACTTTACCCTTCATGACACTAACTTACTGTAAATGCCTATAGCCATGTAACTGAACTTTTGCTGTTTTACTGATCACATCATTAATGTGTTATCTTTTTGAGAGCAGCAGTGGTTAAAGTGCAGCACTGAGTTATATTTGGGATGGATAATCTAGCTGTGGCTAGGAAGCACATTGACATTTTGTGAAGTGTTGAGAGTCATAATGGGTTAAAGAATAATACAAACTGAGCAGGAACAGCTGGTCAGGATTTTCCAAGTTTGGGGAATTAGGTTAAATATTGTGTTGAGAGGGAGGTTCTCTGCTTAAAACCCATCAGAGCAGTTGGAGAGAAGAGCAGGGGTCAATTAAGTAGGGTTGGGTGTGAATCTGACCCTTTATTTACTTACTCATTCTCTAATAGAAGCAGCATAAAAGTATTTAGATGATAGTGTGTTTTTTGCCCAGTGCAATAGATTTATCTTGCATTTCAGTTTTACTTCACAGGGAAAATGTTTATCATGCAATACGTCTAATCATGGGAATGGTCATGCCAACAAAAATTAATCTACTATCATAGAAAACTGTTGTTTTTTTTATTTGATTTATATGCCGCCCTTCTCCGGAGACTCAGGGCGGCTTACAATGCGTTAAGCAATAGCCTTCATACTTTTGTATATTTTATACAAAGTCAGCTTATTGCCCCCACAAACCAGGTCCTCCTTTTACCTAACTTAGAAAGGATGGAAGGCTGAGTCAACCTTGAGCCTGGTGAGATTTGAACTTGCAGTAATTGCAGGCAGCTGATGTTAATAACAGTGCTTTAGTCTGCTACGCACCAGGGCTCTGAACCAAATCATTGGCTATTTGGCTTACCATTGTTTAAATAAAGTTTTAAATAAAAAAATCAAATAATGTGAATTTTCCCATTCCCCAAACTAATATTAAATTTAACGTGGTTTGATATTGGGTCTAGAATTGAGGAAGCTAATGTAGAGTTGCCAGTTAGTGTATTACACAGTCCTAAATAATGGCTGCTGTAACTGAACTTTTGCTGTTTTACTGATCACATCATTAATGTGTTATCTTTTTGAGAGCAGCAGTGGTTAAAGTGCAGCACTGAGTTATATTTGGGATGGATAATCTAGCTGTGGCTAGGAAGCACATTGACATTTTGTGAAGTGTTGAGAGTCATAATGGTTAAAGAATAATACAAACTGAGCAGGAACAGCTGGTCAGGATTTTCCAAGTTTGGGGAATTAGGTTAAATATTGTGTTGAGAGGGAGGTTCTCTGCTTAAAACCCATCAGAGCAGTTGGAGAGAAGAGCAGGGGTCAATTAAGTAGGGTTGGGTGTGAATCTGACCCTTTATTTACTTACTCATTCTCTAATAGAAGCAGCATAAAAGTATTTAGATGATAGTGTGTTTTTTGCCCAGTGCAATAGATTTATCTTGCATTTCAGTTTTACTTCACAGGGAAAATGTTTATCATGCAATACGTCTAATCATGGGAATGGTCATGCCAACAAAAATTAATCTACTATCATAGAAAACTGTTGTTTTTTTTATTTGATTTATATGCCGCCCTTCTCCGGAGACTCAGGGCGGCTTACAATGCGTTAAGCAATAGCCTTCATACTTTTGTATATTTTATACAAAGTCAGCTTATTGCCCCCACAAACCAGGTCCTCCTTTTACCTAACTTAGAAAGGATGGAAGGCTGAGTCAACCTTGAGCCTGGTGAGATTTGAACTTGCAGTAATTGCAGGCAGCTGATGTTAATAACAGTGCTTTAGTCTGCTACGCACCAGGGCTCTGAACCAAATCATTGGCTATTTGGCTTACCATTGTTTAAATAAAGTTTTAAATAAAAAAATCAAATAATGTGAATTTTCCCATTCCCCAAACTAATATTAAATTTAACGTGGTTTGATATTGGGTCTAGAATTGAGGAAGCTAATGTAGAGTTGCCAGTTAGTGTATTACACAGTCCTAAATAATGGCTGCTGTAATATATATCTAGAATCACCCCAAACAGCAAGATGTATATATATTTAATAAACATATTAAATGCAATCATTTGAAATAATATTAAAATAATCATTTTCAAGTAATATTCAAATAATATTAAAAATCTGGATAATTTATTGAGAACTTGATTTATAAATTGTGATGGAGGGAAGGAGAAACACCAAATGAGTTATCAGAAAGCCTAATTTTCAAATTCAAAGATATATTTCACATTCAAACACCTATTCTGAAAATAATCAGAAATACGTTCCTTTTGGTGTTCCAATATACTCTTCTCTTCTGCTGTCAAAAACACAGCTAGTAAATCTGAATTGTTCTGTCTATGATTTCATACTCGGAGAAAATCTGAAGGTAGTAACAAATAGTGTTTATAGTCTCTGTTCTAAAATACATAAATTCAGAAAAGCAGGACCATGACACTCATGTTTTTAATCTTTGGTGCATGAATCAAACAGAAATGTTTCCTCTTCTTGTGTTTTATTCTAGTTTTGCTTTTCTTTGAAACCAGAACAGAGGGAGTTTTTTAAAATCTTACTGTGAAGAACTGTAAGATTGTAAGATAGGGGAGGCATCATCCCTATTCCAATCTAGTTCAGCAAGCTTAGACGCGTAATGTAAAGTATAAACTATTTATAGAACACCAATTTGCCTTCAATTGTTAGCCTTTCAATGAGTTGTAGCTCAAAAGTGCCATTGTGTACTCCAGACTTGCGAAAGGCTCCTGCAAAACGGTTGTCTTCCCAGTAGTGATGCCAATTCCCATTGCTGTCTGCACCAAAGCCAAAGGCAGAAACCTACCACATATAGAAGCAAGTGAGAAAACAATAAATGTCTGGAAAAAAATTAAATGTTACACATCTACTGAAGAGACCAGATACTTAATCCCTGTTACATGTTTTGAATTACACTTCTCCCAGGTCCCTGTCATTGCCATGCTGGATGGAAGAGATGAGCATTGAAATACAAAACATCGAAAATACTGTATTAGATTGCCCAACACACTATAGTCAATTGCATTACATAAATGCCGGAGTTGCAAATGTCGATTTTACTTTTTATTTTAGAAAGTTATATATGGGTTTTGCAAAGTGGAAAGTGAAACAGCAAGTAGTTAAAATATAACTCATGTTGAATAGTAGGTTGAATTTTTTTTTTGTCATAGTTTTTCATTTTGGTGATTAAAATACAAAGTGTCCTATAAAGTATCAATATTGGCCACATACTGTCCGCCATTTAGTAGCTTCCCAATAAGATTTTTATTACTAACTAAATTGTAAAGAGAAATTGTTTTGGGAACAGAGCTAAAAGTGATTAGTGAAGCAATAGGAACAGCAATAGCTGTTCAGCTCAGAACCCATTTACAGCAGCGATCCCCAACCTTTCTGGGTCTGCAGACAGGTGGCAAAGGTGGCTGATGGGGAAAGGGAAAGGTTTTGCACAACCAGTGGGAGAATGCTTGCAGAGCTCTGTTGGAGCTTTGTGTACTCATTCAATAGGCCACCGCTTGTGCGGCCTGGTTTACAATGGGCTGCTGTCCAGTACGGGGCCACAGCCCGTGGATTGGGAACCTCTGATTTACAGAGATAAGAGGAGTGGTTTTTTGGTGCCCTTACCTGTGTGCAAGTATGGATGGCAAAAATCAGTGTAATCAACCCAGTGGAAGGATACTTTCCATGATGCCGTGTCCATTTGTCTTGGATATATTTCAGGAAACCAGGGTGAATTATTAGAATCTAAGAAGAAAGTTTTGTAAAATAAGATTCACCCAGATTTATCATAAATTCTTCCTCAAATTGGTCCACCTATTGTAAGAATAACTTCAGAGCAAGAAAAGTCCTTAATGTTCTCAAGGACTTAAAGTAGAATGGATGATCCCCTCTCCCTGGATGCATCAGTCCCTGACAGTATGTGCAGTTATTCCATGGCTGCAGGACCAAGCTACCACAAAATACCACACCTGTAGCCTGGAACAAAAACAGTTCATATTCCTAAGAGATTCCTAGTTGGATCCTCCCTAGTGCAAGTTTGCTTTGACTGTTAAGAATGTGTATGGTGGCCTCCGTAATCCTTTTTTCTTCTGCCTCCCATATTTTATTATTTAATAAGGAATATTACCAGCTTGAAATATGCATTTAATATATAAAATAAATATAAAGCAATATATTTATTTATGAAGTTGGGACTCCTGTACTGATTATTTTTAATCCACAAAAAATAAAAATATAATAGTTAATAAGTGCATTATTGCTTTTTAATTTACACCTTACCTTGCTTTTGTCGGCTTTAATAAATTGTTTAACTCTTTTGTATGTTCTGTGAAAGGAATGGAAGAATCTTTACCATTCAACATTATTTAATTTTCTTTTAATCAACATTGTAGACATTATAGAAAGAGAACTATATTACTTTATGGTAGCCCAAAATCAGGAGGCCTCTGATTTTAACCATAATTTTTTTTTTCTTCTTCTGATTCAGGGGTGTCAAACTCAAGGCCCGGAGGCCTGATCAGGCCCACGGGGTGCTTAGATCTGGCCCATGTGGCTGACCTGGAAACAGCGAAGAATCAGCGGTGCCTCGGCCAGCCAAAACGGAGCTTGGGAGGGATGCGTGCATGGTCCTCCCGAGTTTTGTTTTTGATAGCAGAGGGTTGCAGGATGCCGTCACAGCTGAAAATGGAGTTCGGGAGCCCATTTTCGTTGGCAGAGCACTCGGGCCGCCATAGGCACCCCCCAACATAAGTGACATACTGGCCACACTCACCTTGGCCACACTCACCTTGGCCACACTCACCCTGGCCACCCCACCCTGGTCCCCCCAAGGTCAAACACAACCCAGATGTCACCCTCAATGAAATCGAGTTTGACACCCCTGTTCTGGTTGGGAGACTGAAATCCATTTATGGAAAATCGGTTTTATGGGTAATTTCTTTAATAAGTGATAATGACAAATATCTGATGTAGTGAGAAATGTATTTGCCATCTAAGAATGGAAACATGCTTGATAGCCTGATAACAGTAGGAATGCTTGATATCATGATATTACTATGTTATTGCCTAGCCTTTTATATTGCAATTACTTAGGGAGGATACTTACTGCTGGATATCTCCTGTTGAAAAAGCACTAGCCAACCATTTGAGATCCAGAGGTTTGAAAGGGACTAGTACAAGATGTACATTAGGATGGAGATTCATCGCACTCTCTGGGTACATGAAATGGTGTGTGGTTCGTGCACCAACATCTTCCTCAAAACCTGTAACTTGTGCAGTATTCATTCTTGGAGAATATTAAAAAAAAACCCAATCAGAATCATCTTATTCAAGAGATCTAGGTCACACACATGGAAAAAAATGTTACTTAAACTTAGTAAGTACAAAACCTGGATCTATGTCCAGGTTCTGTACTTAGTAAGTACAGATAAAGATCAGATCCAGATAAAGTTAGTGGCTATCACCTACATCACAGGTGTCAAACTCACAGTGTCATGTTGCTGTCACATGACTTATCGCAATGTTTTTCCCCTTCATGAAGCTGGTGTGGGCGTGATCTGCGCACGATGCATTGGGCCCATGGGCCACTAGTTTGATACCCCTGGCTTATATGATATTCAATATGGATATTCTATTTCCCAAATAGATATTCTATTCTATTTGCAAAAAATTTAAATAGGATAACATATATTGTATGTTAGAAGTACATAATATGGTCCATAAGCTACATGCAACATACCTTTTGTAGTCTCAACAAAAGAGATTTTAGGATTTGGGGTGGATTTTAAGGGGCAAATTTTAAACCTTAAACCTTGTATAATGTTAAGGCATTCATTTCAGTGGTGGGTTTCTACCAGTTCGCCCTGGTTCGGGTGAACCAGTAGCAGCAGCAGTGGGAGGCTCCGCTCACACCCAGACGTCGTCAAAAACGCTCTGTGCATGCGCAGAAGCGCTGCGTGCTCGCAAAGCAAGCATGCACACTACCAATAGCAAACTAGTAGCACCGGGATTTGAAGTCCACTACTGGTTCATTTCATGGCTTAAATTACCTCGTGGAACCTACTTTAGGTCCAAGTGCATATACTTTTAGAATGTAACATGCTAGAATGTAACAAGATGTATACCACTACCCTTAGAAATGGGGATTTTCTAACCCCCAACTGGATGTAGATTGAGATCTCTGTATCTGGCCCACAAAGACCCCTTTTCTTCCCTAAGGCAATAGATCGGGTGTCTAACGCAGGCCGGATGCATCACTTGCAGCTACTATTTTAACAAATTAGAGGTGGATGCTGGGTTCATAGCCCTGCATATTCAAGACACCACCTTTGAATCAAATCAAACATGGCATAAATATCCCAACTCTCTACCATTTTAGGGCAGTCAAACTAGTTAATGTAATAATAAAAAGAAAGAAATAGGAAAATATCACTCCTGGGAGAGGTCTACACCAATCTGCTGTGTCTTTTGAATCTAGGTTGAGGGCTGAAGATCTCTCTCTCTCATTCTTTGTGTATATGCTCTGTTCTACCCACTTACCTCATCACAAACTTGTGAGAATCTATCTTCTTTCCATATTTAGAGCCCCTCAGCCTTCCCGAGTTTCCCACCACAGCACAGGTTCCACAATGAACAACATCCTGAGCTCTAGCAGTGGGGGACTGAAGGAGGTCAAACAGATATTGTACCATCTGCTGAATTTGACTGCCATCTTTTGATCTTTGTAGCTTCTGATGGAATAAAATAAAGCATTAGGAGCAGGGTGGATGGACTTCTAATAACGCCTGCCCAAGAAAATGTTTTATTTTGGAGAAGAAATACAGACCCTTTGGATACCTCTGAACTACACTGGTTAATACTGATTTCAAAAGTGGGTCCTATATCTATAGGAGACTGACCATGAAAAACCATTACTATTTCTTTCACGAACATGGAAGAAGGTACAGCTGTGTAGCCTCAATGCACTGGAGCAATTTTTGGTGAAAGGATTGATGACTATGTGACTGTTTCAGATTTGCATGACATACTGAACTAAAAACCAGCTAGTCACATTCCAACCTAACAAGTTATATAAATATTACCTTTCTGAGTGGTATAGTTCAAGCACATTAAGCAACTCAGAATACTGAGTCAATTTATGATATGGCAGAAACAAATTCTTAATCGTTTCTCAATGCAATAGTGATCTTTTCCTACTAAATGGATTTGTCCTTTCTTAATCATGATTGATTAATTTGGGGTTATTCATGAAATTGTAATGATTAATGACACAGAAATAGAGAAATATTAAATATATGGAAAGGAGCATTTCAGTAAATATGTCTAGTTAATTTCTAGTAAATATTAATTAGATAAAATCAAAATTAATTTTTAATGTAGCTCACTATACATCAAACATCAAGTATAGTCCTAAACAGAAAAAATGTTCTGTACCTTAGATACATTATAAGACCTGAGAACAGAGCTGAAGGATTAATAGAAACCAAAGGACAGCTTGAGGATTTCCAAACTGGCTGACTCGGATTATGTACATTATGGAGAGGGAAGCTGTGGCCCTCTACAAATTGCTCAGCTCTAACTCCCATATTCCTGCACATTGCATGTTATGATGATGGAATTCAGATTGTAACAACATTTAGGGAGATTGCTGACTGAATAGGCAATGAATGGTTTATCTATAGTTAGGAAGTGAGTCTATCTTTCTTCATCTATCTTGCCAAAAGATAATGCAATCTAGATCTTCAAAAAGAGGAAAGGAAGAGAAGCCAGGTTTCTAAGAAGTATAGGAAAAAATCAAGCAAAAGGCAAGTTGTGTAAAATGTTTTACATATAGTATATGAAGATCACGAATGTGACTTTAGTGCTTTTACTATGCCCAGTCTTAGTTAAAAGAAAAGATAAAATGCTAAAATAAGCCTCTATCATTTATTTTCCACTGAAAGACAAATCTGGACAAGTACTACACACAACCAACACTTGACTTAGTAGTGAGAATATTTTTTTTAAATTATTTTCTCTAAATGGTTATAGTTGTTTAGCTTAGTAATATGATACAGTACTCACCAGCCACCACTGAAGAACCTCTGGTGGGATATCAGAGTTTTCAAGAGTCAGCAGGCAGTTTACTGAGGCATCAAAGTGGTCACAAAACCAATCCCAACTGCTTAGGCCAATACATTTGTTATGGTAACACATTTCCTCTTTCATTAATGAGTCTTGCAGTAGCCATTCATCAAGACTTTTGGACAAAGGTGAAACAGAAATATATATCTTCCAGATGGCAAGTGCAAAGCACAGGGCCAGAACAATCCACAACTTCTTCTTACACATCATTGTTCACTCCATCACTTCGGTTTGAACTCCTAGTTTAGACATCTTTGACAGAAAAAAATCATCATGCTGGGTGATATAACTGCAGCTAAATCCTTTATTTGGGTATTATTAGATTGTTTTCAAAGTAGATAGAGCCTCACTGTATTGGATGTTTTGCTGTTCAGAACTTCAAGACAAAGAAAAACCAAACTAGATTGTACCATTCTGTGAGTAGATACTTATATTGAGATGCCATATCTTCAGAATGCTGAAACACACATGCTAGAAAAAGATAAATAGAAAAGGCAAATGTTAAAATGATATGTCAATATTATCCATAGATCTCAAAGGACAATACCATATGTCATGACAGAATATAATTTGTTGATATTAATAAAAGATTTAAAAGTCCAATGATTCTATGTTTCCGTAACCCAAAGCTTTTTCAAGTACAGGTTCACAGTGGGTTCTGTTTTGTGTATAATTTGTACCAGAATGTAATGCAATCAGCTTGCATTTTCTGTATGTCTCATCCAGTATTTTTTATCTATTAGAGGATATAGCCATTTTTGCAGTGAAACAATCTTCATGGTAAGCATTCCAAACTGTGATTTAAGCATACAGTACTTAATTAGGGGGGTTGGCTCATAATTCACTGAAACATGAATGTTGATGGTATGTAGGAATTCTGTAAAAAAGTACTGCCTCAAGTCAATTATAAATTTCCCAAAAATATTGCAAATATGTAACATTCAAACAGATATCCCAGAATTTTGTAGTATTTCCAGGGAATGGGAAAGACAAAAGAGATTGCAAAATCCCGTATTTACATTGCTGACTGGCAAATAGAAAAAGATACATAGAAAAGGCAAATAGAAAAGACAATCTTGGAACTTTCTATGAAACTATGGTGACTTTTCTGCTTAGGGAGTTACAGTATAGCGGATGAAGGAGCATAGAACAGGAACAACTATGTCTGTATTGTTTCTGACAACACATTGTAGCTTAGGTTCCGATAATATAAAACTGAAGAATAAGAAAGAAAGACTTTGTTATGGAACACTTTATTTATCTGGGACTCTAGGTAGTTAGATAAGCACTCCCTGGATTGCGTAAACCATCACTGACATACATCCAACCTTATGGACAGAAATGGAAGAATGGCAGCAGCTGCTTTCAATATGCAGAAACAGGCAGCATTTATGTTTGCACAGGTGCATAGTGTACAATGTGACATGTAAAACTTGTCTTAGAAAAGGGATGGAACCTTTGTATAGCCTGGAAACCATCTGTCTTACCCATCTGTGAATAGAAATATTCAGGCTAGTTCTGCAGAGAAATCCTCTAATCTCAGGCCTTTCCCAAATTCCTACTATTTTTTAAAAGGACAAATCCTTAAATTATACTAATTACTACATCAGGCAATTATCTTACATGATCCAGTCTTTCCCAATGGAAGTGCTTATTATCATATATTAAGACTAATCCCAATGTCACAAACACTTATAATTGTGATTTCTTTCATATTTATCCAAAAAAACACAGTGCACGCTGCAAATGTAAGCATCTTCAACCCTACCTTCAGTGTAGAGCAATTATTTTCCAGAGATGCTAGAATAAAGAATAAATTATTATTGATAATTACAAATAAAAAAGAAAGCCTCTGATTCCATGCAGATACAGTTTATACTTTCTTAACACATCTGGATATCACCATATATACGGAATTAAAATGGGCTTTATTTTTGATATCACTAATATTTGGGCATTATTTTTAAGTAAATAAGGATATAACAAAAATGAACACTTGTAATAATATACATAAGTTTCAGTTGTAATAGGTATATAATTGTTACATGTAATCAAAGGATTAATGTTTAGATTCCCCTAAGCATCAACCATTCCGAATATGATTAAATTATACCAGACTGGTCGATAATTACATCTGGCTTCAATCTTTTCTCAATCAGTTAAATACAAAGATGAAAGTCCATTTGGACTTTCATGGGTGTATGTTTATATTAAAACATCCTGGTATATTAAAACCAGGAAACCTTGTTAGAAGTGGGAGACTCTTAACCCTGAAAATAATGTAGGTAGTTTGAAAGAAAAAATAAAAAGAAAGCAGCTAACAGCTAAATCAGTATGAAGAATTTTTCAATTCAGTGATAACCTCTTTGAAAAACTTTTCATTTCACACTTACTCTGGCATTTTTGTAAACTTTTTTTCCCCTGGGTCATTTTAATACATTTGAAACTGTTATATATCCAAATTGGACTGCAACCAAATCAGTGAAGGTAAAACAAGCTAACTCGTTCTATTTAATCTCACAAACTACAACATAACAAATTTCCTCTTCTAATCCCAATTCTATAATTGTTTCCCTCTTTTCTCTTAGCCAGGTGCTAGACAATATATATCCCTTCCTTGTGCCTAAACCTGCTTCCAACTCTGGGAATGAAGAGGTTGAAGGGCTATAAAATTTGCCCAAGAAAAGTGTTTTCTTTGTCAATCACATCCATAGATTACTTACTTCCCCACAACTCAGATTCACTGTGATGCTCTTGGGGGTGTGTGTGAATCTCCAATGCTGTTAGTAAAGGGACCATTTTAATAAATCTTTATAAGACTCCTGACAATTTCCTTGGTGGTCTTGTGGTGCTTTTTTTTTTAATTTTCCGCACAGCAGCATAGCCAGCAACAAAGTCTTTAATCATTTATTCAATAAAATTATTAATTGACTGATTTACTTGTATGCTACCCATTCCCACAGGCTCTAGACAGTTCACAATACAAACATATAAACACTTTCCTAGAAATGCCCAAATGCATTTAAGTGAGGAAAAAAATAAAAAAACTAAACATCAAAAAATACATGCGTTTGCAACCTCACCTTCAAATCACCGGTTACTTTCCTTCTGTACAAGACTGAACAGGTAAATCTTCAAAGTTTTCCTGAAGCCTATGAGACATGATGCTGACTGAATTTCTACTAGGAGGGAGCTATAAAGAGTGAGGACAGCTACTGAAAATGTATGCTTCCAGGGCTCCATCAAGTGATTAGAAATGAGATCTGGAGGTGATTGACCCTATTTGATCTTATTGGATAGGCAGATAAATACAGGAGAAAGTGATCCCTAAATAAACAGTCATTCATGATCTTAAACATGACAATCAACACCTTGAATCATATCAGAAGCTAACTGATAACAAGTACAGTTTCCAAAGCAGTGGATTACATTGCTTGGGACTTTTCATTCTGCAACCACTGTAATTTCCTCATGTTCCTCAAAGCAGCTCCATGTAGCTTGCATTGCACATGGGAAATGATTAGGGCATGGGTGACTACCGAGTTTTCCCAAAAATAAGACCCTGTCTTATATTTTTTTGAACTCTGAAATAAACGCTTGGCCTTATTGCCATGCACCCAAAATCACGATTGGGCTTATTATCAGTCTTATTTTGGGGGAAACAGGGTATGAACAGGACTTTGTAGTCCAGGAAGGGTAACAATTGGTGCACAAGATGTAACTATGTAAAATCCCTCCTGGCTACTCTTGCTATCTGCATTTCAAGCAGGATCTGTGAGTCTAGGAGACTTCCCAAATTGTAGACTAGCTCTGAAGGGGGAACTATAAGTCTTCAATTTCTGGAATGGAATTTCCCAGACAGTGTTAGACTCCCAAATTCCCCAATCACTTCATCTTGGAAAGATTCAATTCCTTGACTTGTGATGTTACTCCAGACAGCATTCACTCTTCCTTATTAATTACATAGGATTCAGATGTTTTTAGTGGGAAAAAAGTTTACTAAAAGAAAACAATACATAACATTTAAACAGAAAGAGAATTAATACAGGTAGTCCTCACCTTACAACTGTTCATTTAGTGACCATTCAAAGTTACAATGGCATTAAAAAAGTGACATATGACCATGTTTCACACTTATGACCATTGCAGCATCCCCATGGTGATGTGATTTACACTCAGATGCTTGACAACTGGTTCATATTTATGATGGGTGCAGTGTCCTGTGCTCATGTGATCACCTTTTGTGACCTTCTAACAAGCAAAGTCAATGGGAAAGCCAGATTCATTTAACAATGGTGTTACTAATATAACAATTCCAGTGATTCCACTTAATAAATGTGGCAAGAAAAGTCGTAAAATGGAGCAAAACTCACTTAACGAATCTCTCACTTAGCAACATAAATTTGGGGCTTAATTGTGGTCATAAGTTGAGAACTACCTGTATAGAGTTTTAAACAATGCAGTAGGAAAGAAATAAGAACAAGCGAAATAAGGAAGGATAACCAAGAAAAGATATTTTCAGAAATTCGAGAAACATATTTACCTGGGAATCAACTCTACAGAATTCCGTGAGATTTACAGTTGAGAATATGTGCAGAAGTGGATTGTTGTTGATGAGGATGTTATCCATTCAGCCATGTCCAATTCGTGGCAATTCTATGGGCCAGGTCTATCCATGTCATCTGATCTTGCACTACTTCTTTGAATTATTCTATGCTCTGGCTGGTGTCACCTGTGATAGTAATGGCTTATAAATACTCAAAATGAAAGGAAGAAAAAGCACATGGGAAAAATGAAGCAAATACCGAGAGAGGCAAAAATTGTATGAGGAAGAGAAAGAAAGAACAAGAGATGGCAAGTTCTGCATTTCTGGCAATGGCTCATCTTGCTTCTGTAAACAGAAGAAAAATGTACCAGGCACCTGGCAAGTGGGACAACTGGGTTGGGCAGGGAGGAGTGGCAATAGACATGGATGAGCAGAGATTTTAATAATTAGTTGACTCAACATTCATATTTACTGGTTGGATTTAACATAGTAAAGTAAATAATACTCATTGCTTTATTAATAAACCAGTTTCTTCACTAAAACATTAAACCATGATTTACCAAGCAATTGAATAGGCTACACAGCATGCTAAACCAAAACTAAGTAAACCATAAATAAACAAAGGGGGAGAAATCAATGTCTTGTTAACCTGCAACAATGTGTATTTGTCTCCAGATGGCATTACCACTTTGTGCTCATATGTTAAGTGCAATGTCTTTCCATGTTGACAAGTCAAATTATTCTTTATACCAACAACAGTTTTAACCAATATCAGAGATGCAAGACTCAACTTGAGGTTCACCCCAGGCTTTGAATGGCACATCAAAGTTCACACACTGAGTGGGTGGAGACATTAGAAGAGCTTCAAAGACTGAAAAGAATGCCTCAACATCTGCAAAACTCAATGTAACAATTGCCCCTTAACTCCCTCAATTTTTAAAAATGCAAAAGGACCACTGAATTTTGGGCCCAGACATTTTGAGAAAGCTGTGGAGTCATCAAGGGATGCTGGTGGGTAGGCATATTTTCTTGCTTGCATTTCAGTTTTGGTCACTTAAACTGAGATATACGTAAATTACTCAATTAACATTCAAAGACTTCTGGTAGAGTTTTTAGCACAAGTAGGCAAATCAGTAGGAAATGCAACTAGCTGTGGACCAACTGATGAATAATGGCAGTACTTTGTGGTAGGAGTTGTTGACCTAAACCTTTTTCTTAAGAACATAAGATTTCTTTCCATCTTTTCTCTAACATGTTCAGTTAACAGTCTCCTCTCCTCATCTCCCTTCCCTTCCTGTCAATTAGACAATTCCTCTTACACGCAGGTTCCCCCTCCCTTTTCCATCCTCTTGCTGGGAAGAGAAGAGGAAGTAGACAGTTGTGTATGTGTACACTTGGGTGAGCCTATCTGTAGAATGGATTGAGTGTGAAAGAGACGGTGGCATCTACAGGAAATGTTCAAAAAAAGTTAAGATGGTAGCCATAAGGTTGCCATAAAAGCAGACACCCGAGAAAGAAAGATTAACTGGTATATTTTGATGGGAATCAGTTACTGGGATAGCCAACATCCCTCATCTTACACATGGCTAGTTATATTTATTTTAATCAGCTGTTATTTAATATTAGTGGGCAGTTATCCAGGTCCTGTTCTTTTTTACATTGCTCATACAGTTGTTATGAAAAGAATTAAAAATAAACATTTCATATAAACATATACTTAGATGCATGCAAATGTATTGGGGGATGTGCAACCAAGAATTGGTTGCATCTGGAGTATGTAATCCTAGAGTGCAAGACCACTCTTCCTTTGGCAAGGGAATATAATGCAGCTATATTGCAGTAAGATTGATTTAACTCTCACTTCTTGGTATCAAGAGAGGTATGTAATAAAATTAACGAATTTGAAACATTTGCAGTCATAAAAGTCAGATCCTGTATTGCACTGTGAAGCACAAACCTTAGGTAAATGCTAGATTTATACAATGCCAGGAAAAGAATCTGTGAATGGATGAGTTCTGGCTAGCATATTAGAATACATTTCTAAGGGGTAATCCTTTTGTTATTTTCCATTACGTTTAACAATGTTACATCTGACACCTAAAGGATGAACCACTTTATTATTGTATAACATTTTGTGAATTATAGAATGCTTTGTCATATAATCCCCATGAAGTGGAATAAATTAAAGCTTTTGCAAAAAATTCTGTTAGATTTTATAGCGTTATAAACCTATTTATTCATTAACATAAATTAATAGTAGTACAGCAAAATGCTTTCACAGATCAAGCTTTTTTAAAACCTTGCTATCACTTCTATCGCCCCTTGGGGTTTGTATATTTATAATGCAATGGCCCTTAGCTAAAAGAAAGAACAATTCTAGCTAACATTTCTACATGCAGTTTGCAAGGCAAATTAAATTCATGTTCTTCCTTTTGCTTGAATGTTCTGTAATGCATTTACAAAGCCTAATAATAGTAATGTACATTTAAAAAGCAATTTTCTAGTTTTTCTTTAGCATGAAAGAGAACACATTGCAGTGTGTCCAAAAGCCTAAATAAGCACTTAACAGGGAAAAAGCGAGGAGGCATAATTCCATACTTTCACTAGTCTGGTAAAATCTATTGATAGCAGAATTATTCCAGAAGATTTTTCAGGAAAAACTCAAACATAGATGCACATTACAGTACACTAATTAGTGTGCAGCCTGTTAATGAGACAAATTGAAAAAAGGTTTGCATTTTACAATATACTCACTTGGTGCTGCAAGCTGCACTTCCTACATGGAGACCTCAGGCCAACAAATAGTATTTTTGTTTCTGTGAATGTTTAGACCCTTTCTTGTTTGTTCTCCTTTTTTAAATAAAAAAATCTTAATCCTCTCCAGCCATAGGCTATAATTTACAGATTCTGGTATTTTAGTGAGAAGAGAAAATTTGCAAAAATAAAGAAATAAAGATTTACCTGTCTAACACCGACCACATTAGGAAGAGAATGCACATTTTCAAAAAGGAAAAAAAAACAGATCGGGTTTAAGCAATAAAAAAGGAAACGTGTTTGAAACACACTGTATTAGAAATCATTTCCTGTAGCTGTTTGCAGATGTGACACAACCCGCAAATGCTCTGTGACTAAGTTGTTGGTTGACCATGACACATTTTGTTATTAATTTGGCAGTTGTATTCCTTTTGCATTTGAGGCCATAAAATATCTGCTCAGTTTCTATTTATAGGAAACAGATTTGAAAAAAACCAGGTCCCAACTCATGTAGGGCTTTGTAAGTGATCACACCAGTGGTGGGTTGTCCTCGGTTCGGACCGGTTTGCAAGAACCCGTGATAAAACCGGTGGGAGGCTCCGCCCACTGAACCGGATGTCATCAGGAAGCTTCTGTGCAGCCCCGTTGCGAACCGGTAGTAAAGGTACGTAGAACCCAGCCCTGGATCACATGTATCTTTATGTGCAACTGGAAATGAACTGGCTACCAATGCAAGTTCCACACTATTAATCTTGACATCTTGTTAGGTTCTGTCTAATTGACCTCAAACACTGAATGACTTGAAGTGATTCTTCAAACTGTAGTGTTAAAAGCTCACAATGGGCTGCCAGTGGCTCTTCTGACTCATCCTCACCTAAATGATGCAGGGTTAAAAGGGTTGACAGAGGACCGTATGCAGATGCAGTAAGTGATGTAACTATGCATCACAGAATATTATAGTCTAGCATTCTCTGCAAAATTCAAAGATAGGAGGGAATTTCATAATGAGGAGGCCATCACTTATAGAATGTTTTCTAGAGAAACTAGGGCTTACCATGAGACCTAAAAGTATGGGCAACAGCCCTTGCTTTCAGTAATTAACATCAGCAAGAGGTTTCTTCAACAATCGTGTTTTGACTTGGTTGTGCCATTAGATATTTTTTCAGAATCATTTATAGTGTTTTTCTTTTACTTTTTTACAGATTGTATTTAAAATTAGAGGTTATTATTATTTCTTATGTTTTTGCAGTATACATGCAAATACTCAGGTAAGATTCAAATTAGTAAAGTCACGATCATCAATTTTATATAGTACCTATGTACATACGTACCCATTACAGTACATTATGTAAAGTGTAGATTGTAAGTAAAAATGATAAGTCAAAGAAATTAATGGTATGATTTTTTTAAAAAAAACTAATCTGGTGTATGCCCAAACCAGTCACTATATCTCTCCATACATGTCAGCAAACCATTTTTACTTTTATCATGTACATATACCACTTCATACGCTGCCTTTTGTTCATAAAATCCCCACTTCTCTCTTTTTGAGGAACTAAATTGGTCCATCCAATCATAATTTTCTTGTTCTTCCTCTTAACCCATTCACTCTTCCTTTGTTGTTTGCTGTTTTATTTGCTTTGCAATTGGATCCTAATTCATTTTCTCTATATGACCAAACCATCTGCTTACTCCCATTCATATTCAATCTGTATTCATTCAACACCCATTCATTCTTGATCTTTTTTTTTTTAACCATATACTCTTTTGAAGTACTGAATATGTAAATTCATAAACTTGGTCTAATTTTGCTCTAAATCACACATCCAGCCATTTTTTATACATAGGCTAAATTTCAGATCATGTTTATTTATTTTGAATGTAAAAAAAATTAATGAAAAGCTCTTAATTAATATTACTGCATCATGAATGCCTATGTAGTGATTCAGACTTCAGTCACTTTTGAGCTACCACAATACTTTTGCTGTGTTCCTGGATACAGTAATCCAAATTCTAAAAAACTGCTCCAAATGCCATCACTCCAAAAACATTGTGGTTATTTCATCACCCATGCTCCCTTAAAGGTAGATTTCTGTGTTAAGAATGTAAGATTTTTAAAATGTTTATTAATCCATGATTCCAAGTCAATGTACACTGCTTTCTGTAAATGTGGCTCACATAACATTCCATGGAATATATGCAAAATGTATGGCATTCAGAAGTTACATCTCCTAATAATGGTAAAGATTGAATTTGAGCAAATCTGAAGGATTACAAATTCCCTTAACTTGCTATGACAAATAGATCTGAGCTGCCAAATCTGCATAATCTTTAGAAGGCTAGAAAGAAATTTCTTTATCTCTTTGTTGCCATGTAGTGGCCATCTACCTGTTTGCAGCCCTGATTTGGTAGCCCTAATATAGTTTCTAGCTAATAAAGTCTGTTTGCCACATGAATACAAATTAGTAACTCTTCAAACAATTTTAGCAATATTGAGAGAAGAGCAACAAAGATGATTAGGGGACTGGAGGCTAAAACATATGAAGAACGGATGCAGGAATTGGGTATGTCTAGTTTAATGAAAAGAAGGACTAGTGGAGACACGATAGCAGTGTTACAATATCTCAGGGGCTACAACAAAGAAGAGGGAATCAAGCTATTCTCCAAAGCATCTGATGCAGTAGTGGGTTTCAATTTCAGCTGCTAGTGGTTTGCTCGTGGGCGCTCGTGTGCACGTGCAACACTTCTGCGCATCTGCAGAGACGTCCGGGTGAGTGGGCGGAGCCTCCCACCACCGCTACCTGTTCGACCAATCCGGGGTGAACTGGTAGCAACCCACCACTGATCTGAGGGTAGGACAAGAAGCAATTGGTGGAAACTAATCAAGGAGAGAAGCAACTTAGAACTAAGGAGAAATTTCCTGACAGTTAGAACAATTAATCAGTGGAACAACTTGCCTCCAGAAGTTGTGAATGTTCCAACACTGGAAGTTTTTAAGAAGATGATGGATAACCATTTGTCTGAAGTGGGGTAGGGTTTCCTGTCAAAGCAGGGGGTTGGATTAGAAGACCTCCAAGGTCCCCTCCAACTCTGTTATTCTATTCTATTCTATTTCCATATGCTTGCTTTCTTAAGGTATATATATTATTTCAGTATTTGCAAAACACAAAGATTTCATTCATTTTTAAAAAGACTTATGTGAACTTTTTGTTGAAAGAAGAAAAGTCTGAACTGATAACTTACAGATTTATGTATTAGAAACAGCTACAGGGGGAAAAGTAAGGTGTCAATTACTTGATAGAAAGAAGGACAGGAGTCAAAGTTCTGTTTTTTTAATTCTTTTTTCTTTTCTTTTTTTCTTATACTTTTATTGTAATGTACATTTTTAATTAAAACATTAAAAAGCATTAGCAATCTGGTTTTTAAATTTTAGTTTTATTTATTAAATTTAAGTAACATTAAAATTACATAGTAGTTTGTGTTCATGTTGCTATTTAGAATTGCATTTCTATTTGCATCTCATTCAGAATCACTTGCACTACTCTAATATATTTATATACATGAAGGTAGAAATATCTAGGTTTCATAAACAGTCATGTTAAGGTTACTTCTCTGTGTCAACCTATGGCCACTTCCCAATTCTACTTTTGAGAACATTTCTTTTTTATACTGGAAATAACACAGCAAAGATATTCATGTGTGGCATTCGAAAAACATTTGTATGGGGGAGGAGGATGTATAAAAATAAGATTCTTCTATTCTAGTAACAACAATTTATGATTTAGTAAATTACTATTAATACAAAGGAAGACAGAGATCATTTTTGAGAATGAATTTGAACCAAAATAAAAAGAAATCAAATAGATGAGATAAATAATATACAGTCCTGCCGTTTTCAGTGTCAACATTTTCTAATCCTCTTATCAGCGAAGTTAATAGCATAGATAAGAGATACGATAATGCACTATATTTAATTCAGAAACAAGGATCAAATTGCTATTAAAGGTGGAATATCACATTATTAATAAACAGAAGAACTATAATATAAACCACAATTAAGACATTTGAGGTACCGTATTTATTTTAGTAACCGAACAGCAAATAGAAAAATTCTGCATTAATAGCATCATTTTGGATTAGTTAAAACATATATGGCGCTTTAAAAGAATGAGCCTTTTTAACTTAGGGAAAATGAAATTTATTTATTTATTTATTTATTTATTGGTTCGATTTATATGCAACCCTTTTCCGGAGACTCAGGGCGGCTTACAATGCATTAAGCAATAGCCTTCATAATTTTGTATATACCTGCTTAGTAGGGCTTTTCGGCCTCCCCAAGCGGTGTTCTTTTTATACAAAGTTAGCTTATTGCCCCCACAATCCGGGTCCTCATTTTACCTACCTCGAAAGGATGGAAGGCTGAGTCAACCTTGAGCCTGGTGAGATTTGAACTTGCAGTAATTGCACCAAGAGCCACCAAGGCTCTTTCAACATACCATATTTATTCTAAGACTTTATTATGAATAGTAGGAGAAGAATGCGTTTAACTGGAAAATTTAAAAGACTCTGAATGTGTATGTATTATTTTCTTTCCATAATAAACAATGTTTTCAAGAAAGGACTGGATAGGTTTGCAGAAACTGAAATATATTTTGTGATTTTTATTTCCCACATTCTTCTTCATCCCTCAGTAGGAATCCTTAGGAATACACACATTGCACATTAGATTTATAAAAAAGTCAGAAACAACATGATTGTTTTACTTCAAAAACTAATATACTGGAATTTTGCAATTCTTAAGAGATTGTCCCAAAGTTTTGGTCTTGGATGGCTCAACCCATCCAAGACCGAGTGGCTGTGGTTTCCGACGTCCCGATATAGTCAGTTGACGCCATCGCTGACTATTGGGGCCGAATTGCTGGCCCCCACGGAGAGGGCTCGCAACTTGGGCATCCTCCTGGATTCACAGCTGTCTTTAGAAGAGCACTTGACAGCCGTGACCGGGAGGATCTTTCATCAGGTTCGCCTGATTCGCCAGTTGCGTCCCTTTCTGGATCGGGACTCCCTACACACAGTCACTCATGCCCTCGTCACCTCCTGCCTGGACTATTGTAATGCTCTCTACATGGGGCTCCCCTTGAGGAGCACCCGGAGGCTCCAACTGGCGCAGAGTGCGGCTGCGCAGGTGGTTATGGGAGCAACATGGCGCTCCCATGTGACACCTCTCCTGCGCGAGCTGCACTGGCTCCCGGTGGTCTTCCGGGTGCGCTTCAAGGTTTTGGTTACCACCTTTAGAGCGCTCCATGGCTTAGGACCTGGCTACCTATGGGACTGCCTACTACCACAAACAGCCTCCCACCGGCTGG